TGCCGAGCACTTGAGGGGAGCCGAACACCGTGCGACGCCGAGCACTCCCAACTGCCCGACTACCATAGTGCTTAGCCGGTCCCCTTCATATTGACAATGATGATCGGATCACAACCGGTTTCTGACGAGCCACTACTAACGTTCACATCAACTTCAAATACAAAATATCCTCAAACACAATACTACAAGACAAATCAAACAAACGGTCCACTAGACCCTTATGCAAAGTTGTAGCCAAATGTTCCGAGAGGAGAGAACAATCAATAGCTACCCAACATTTATCCACAACTATGCTCAGGGTCCATCTGACAGCCAAAAGGTTAGCTTCCAAGGAGTTTTCATCCACTTTTAGCAAGCTTTTTCTTCCCGCACCACTTCATCTTCAAGATAAACCACTACTCCTACACCAACCTTTTCTTCAAAAGAAGATAGGGCGCTGACTTGCAGCCTAACAAGTCCTACCCTCCTGAAAAAGTCTTCTTCCTGGGAAATATCAGTCAAAGAAGCAATGATTGGAGCATCAACCTTTAATGCATTCTTGTCTTCATAGTCCATCTCAGTCAAGTCCCTCAAAGCTCATGCAACAACTTCAACTTCCATAAACTGGTTTTATCTGAACATTTTGTTAGTCTTTGTCTTCCATATTCTCCATATTAAGCACCCTAAGACAGACATGTTTTCCTCCAATTTTGCTGCATTTTTACTATTGCACACCATTTCCCATCATTCTCTGAAGTTGAATTTTTCTTTGGTAAAATCATCCCAATCAATACGAAGAAGGTTCCGGCATCTTGAGCTCTTTTGACAACTGACAAAGAGGTGGTAAATATCCTCTGCAACCTCTCCACCAAGTACGCAAATGTTGTCAACAACAATTCCTTTGTTCCTTTGTTGAACTTCTGTGCTAAGAAATCCATTAAAAACTCTCCACATAAAGGTTTTGAGCTTGAGTTGAGTCTTCATCTTCCGAGTCATTTTCCACATCCTCTTAAGTCTTGCATCAACTTTACTTGAGCTGACCTTCACAAAGTCCCCTGAAGAATGAGCACTAAAATTTCTATATGCCGACTTAACAGAAAAGTAATATTTCTTGTCTAAAGCCCACACCAACCTGTCTTTCCTTCTAAACTGACTTAAATGCATTTTCACAATTTGAGAAGCAATGATAGGGGGAAAGTTTGATCAATTAAATCCACATCCCAGCCCCTCTCATCCCTCAGAATCAGCTCACTCACTTTAACCAAACCAGACCGATTTATATCAAAAGCACACAAAGCTTTAAAATTTGGAATTCCAAGAATCGAATGAGAGTTCCAAATTGAAACTGAAGACTCATCTCCTATTTGATACCTCACTCCCCTCCTAAAAGAATCTCTAACATTGAGAACTCCTCCAACGCCAAGAGTCATTGTTTCCTTTTTTTTTAACATCAAACAAATTGGCCTTGTGAAAATACCTACCTTTAGCATTTTACTACTAAGCAGATTAGGTTGAGTCAAGATCCTCCACAACTGGTTGGAAATCAGAGCCTCATTAAAACCAACAATATTTTTGAAACCTAAACCCTTTGACTCTTTACTCTTAGCTAAGTTTTTCAAGAAGCCGGTGAGTTCTGTCATTTTCTGCCATTTCCTTTTTCATTCTCGCCCTACCGAAAGAACTCGCCAATTTTCAAATATCCGCACAAACAGAAGTACATTTCGATTTAATTTTCAATTTAGCCTAATAATAATGATGGTAATAACGGTTACACGTAATATTCTAAAAGTTCAAATGTGGAGTTCTTTGTGACAATTTTGACATTGAATAAAATTGTTTCCCCAAGTTCTTCCTTTTAAACAATCAGTTCATTTCTTTCATGCAAATGCAGCTCCAAATCTAATCCTTTTAACTTAATTTTTTTGGGCTTGTAATATAGTTCCTGTCATTGAATTGGCTCTTTTGATTTGAATGGTGAAGTTTCTTGCGTTTGGCTACCCGATATCCAAGCTCACACGAACAATGTTTTAGGTTGTCTAATGGTTAAATAGTTATATTTCTTTATAAAATAATATACTTATACTAGGAACACTAGAAAATGTTTTCTATGACCTTTTTACATACAATTATGTAAATTCTGATTGAAAAATTATAATTCATAAAAAACGAGCCTGAAATCGAAATCGAGCTCGAGCTCGCCTCGTTTACCACTCATAACGAGTCGAGTTTGTGTCGATTTCGAGTTTTAACGAGCCAAACTATGAAAAATAATATAAATATTCTCTTTTCGATCGAGCCTTATCGACCAGACGAGGTTTAAATAAACTCGAGCACGTTTCGTTTATCAAACGAGCCGAGTTGAACTCGAACCTTAACGAACCGAGCTCGAGCGGCGCCGATCAAGGCTCAGTTTAATTTAGCAACACTATTTTCACGTATTTCACAGTAGCTTTAGCAAAAGAATGAACTCTAACTGTGACACAAGTCCCATTACATAACAATCACATATTACACAGTATCTTTAGTAAAAGAATGAACTCTTAATTGTGACACAAGTCCCATTACACAACAATCAATTACATTTTACAACACAACACCTTAACCTTAACACAACATTGCACAAGCAGAAAAAAGCACACACTCGTCTACATAAACCCAACATGAACAGAAACTATCAGGACATCACGGGGCATCCCTCGAACACGACCCCTTTCCCCGTCGGACACGAAGCGTACGGACACGCATCGAGTTCGTTCCCCCACCAATCCACCCCAATCCCTTCCAATCCCAAGCACATATACAAAACCACCCCCATAAACGCTAATCCCGCATCCAAACCACCCGATAACACGTAATTATACCGCTGCCACAAATCGGGCCTGTAACTGTACACCACGTAACCCGACAGAAAACCGACCAAAATCCATGTCGTGTAGTTAACTGCTGTGGCAGGTGGCATCATCCCACAAGCCCCTATAAGAACCGGCATGTTCACGAGCCTTATCCAAGCCCGAGCTGGAAAGGCCCGTGCGGCAAGCCAAACAAGCACGGGAGCTAAAGCCCCGAATAAGAAAAACCAGTTGATCATTGCATAAGTCCCTTGGTCCCCGAAGATCCTGCGAGGCCCAATAAGGCCCCATATAACCGAGGCATCGTAAAAAACGTGGTCTGACGGGCATGTCCACACGTCAGAAGACACCTGGCATATGTCGGGGATTGTCTCCATCAGCCACCACGCGGTCCCCAAGTAGACAAAAGCCGCTATTAAGGTTCCAACCACCTAAAGTCTCATCTCAAAATCAATTAGTGATGGAAGGAGTAGATCACAAGCATAAGCTAGGCTAAGTTTCTCCATAGAATTAATGCATGATAAGTCACAAGTGATAATCCAACAGAAAGTAATACTGACCTGTGCCATGAACATGGTTCTTGGTGGAATTTTCATGTAGTGCCCGAGTTTGAAGTCTTGAAGGAACGTGATAGCTTGCGTCATGCTGATGTAACCGTAGACTTTGAAGCACATGTTAGCAACCGGGTATCCCGGGTAGATGTACCCGATTATGTACTCGGTTATGATGTTCAAGCCCGGTGACTGCAAAAAAAATAATAAAGATATTCTAAAAACCAATTAGCGCACCGTAAGACGGTGATCCTAGGTACAACTTAGTGAAATTCCATCTAAAAAGCAATTAGTGATGGGAAGAGTAGCCACTAGGCATATAAGCTAGATCCATTTTACCTATAGAATTAATGTGGGACAACTAACAATGATATTCTAGCAAAAAAATGAGAAGACGGTGAAAAGTGTCGAGTTACTTACCTGGTTAGTTATGGCAGTAATTATCCCAATCGGGAGAGTAAAGAAGACGGCGATCACGCAGGCTAAAACGACACCCCACCATGGAAGCTGAAGCTGTTCTTCGTAATATTCACACGCGAATATCGTGAGCGATATATTAACGGCAAGAATGCACCAAAACCACCACTCGGGCACTTGTCGATACTTGCTCATCAGCCTCGTGTGTATATCCATTTTCTTTTCCTTAAAACTCGATTTGCTTTGCTCCCATATTTCTCTGTAAAAACACAATTTTTCTCTCTAACATTTTTATCCGAAAAATAATCTTACAAAAAGTCTCATGAGTAATGAGTAAAATGTTATAACCTTCCATGAAACAGAGCAACATGCATGACGGTGGCACTAAGCGCGGCAAATCCAACCCCATACGTCATGGCAAAAAACGTGCTGAGGTGGAGAGGGCCCGCACGCTCATAGGCCATTTTATCGAGTCGAAAATTTGAGTCTATAATGCTCGAAATGTTGTATATCTGACCAGACGAGGTGAAAAGCTCATCCGAAAAAATGGGGAAGGTCTTTGCGCCGTAAATGTCGAACCAGTAGCTTAGTGGAGTCACAACATACATGACGAAGAAAAAACCGACGGCCACATTGGCAGTAGCGAACCATGGGCTGGCTAACGGGCTCCCGAGGTAAGACGAGATGGTGGACCAGTCGAGCCCGATAGCGCCTATGCCAAGACCATTGAGGCCCGATCCAAGCTGTTGGGCCAGAATTGATTTTGGGAAGATCCAACAGATCCATGAGAGGGATGTGAGCATTTGGAATAGATAGCCAGGGAAAATGTAGTAAGCAAAGCTGCACACAAATGATATGATGAAAAACTGCGTTCGTGTTACACCTCCTTTCGTCCGAGCTTCTTTCTCGTGTAAGGCTCTGAAACAGAAGGAATCGAATAAATTTTAGTTATGTTCTTTTTAGGCGAATAATATATCACTTAAAATGAATCGAAAATGGAAAAAAGTGTGCCTGAAGAGCGAGACTTGAACTAAATTAGCCGGCCACCACATTTCAGCTGGCTCGACTAAATACCTTCTGAATATCCCGGCCCATCCAAAACCGAGCACCTAAAACCATTCAAGCAAAAAAAATAAAACCAATTTTTCACCTCCCAAAAAAAAGCACGAAAAGAAACAGAAAAGCCAAACCGAACCGAACTTCTTCACCTGAGTCGTAACAACAACAATGAGCGACACGAAAAACGTGATGTTCTTCTTGTAGAACACCTTGACAGCTGTCACGACGTGAATGGCGTACACTGTCCCCGCGCCGGAGTTGGCGAATATCGTGATCAGCACGTGCTCCTTGACGTTAAACGGGCCCGGATTGAGGCTGAATTCCCATTTCGTCCCTTTGAAGAAAACTCGGGCCGTGATCTTGGAAGCCATGAGCTGGCCCAAGGGGACCACGGCTATTTGGGCCGAGATGGCGGTTATGGAGAGAGGCTCCGTACGGTACCAGAAGAACTGATTGAGGAAGGAAAGGAGAATGCAGGAGAATGTGCCGAGAAGCCACATACGGAACGTGAGGACCGGGAGAGAGGGATCGTCCGTGGTCGAGA